GAAAATTAAGTTAACTTTATTTTAATTTAATAAAAAAAATAGTAGGAATAATAGTTGTGAAAGACCAACTTGTTCATCAGCTACATTGGGATTTAAGTGTGACTAACATTCTAATGAGACCCAGTTTGGTGTAGTGGTTAAGGCATCAGGCTAGAAACCGGGAGACTGAGTTCTAACCCCATCTTAGGCATGAAGCTAGCTGGGTGACCTTGGGCCGTCACTTTCTGTTAGCCCTAGGAAGGAGGCAATGGCAAACCACTTCTGCAAAACCTTGCCAGGAAAACTACAGGGACTTGTCCAGGCAATCTCCAAGAACTGGACACGAATGAACAGATTAAAAAAAAAATCTAATATTGGGTCATTTATTTTTGAACAAGATTAGTGAGTTTTTTTCCTAAAAGAAACCTCCTGGGAGTCAGTGAAACTCATGTAGCATTGGTGTTACATGGGCATATCATGGTGCAACCAAAATTGCACATATAGCTGCACTCTGGACTAGCTGAAGCTTCCAAATGCTCTTCAGGGGCAATCTCCTGTAAAATGTATTGCATAGTCCAATCAAGAGATGACTAAGACATGAGTAACTGTGAATAGTGCCCCCGATCTAGGAATGGGTGCAACTAGCACACAAGAAGTATTTGTGTAATTCTGTTCAGAGTAAATAATGGAAAATCACTAGATATGGGAGGGGGGTAAAATCCATAGCTACTCAGTCTTGTCAAGGTTGAACTGAGGTCACTTCTTCCCCATCCAGGCCTGTATAGCCTCCAGGCACTGGGAAAACACCTTGGTAGCATCACTTGGATAGTCCAGGGCAGAGGTGTATAACTGAGCATCATCGGCATAAGGATGACACAATCTCATACTATCGGATAATCTCACCCAGCAGTTTCATGTAGATGTTAAACTGGAGTGGGAGAGAGTACAGCCTTGGGTACTCTGAGAAGCAGAGGCCTAAGGCCAGATCGATCTTCCCCTATCAAGAGTGTCTGGAACTGGGCTTAGAGGAAAGAGGTTAACCATTGAAGAAGACTGCCTCCCCCTCCTAACTCCCTCAATTGGCCCAGAAGAGTAACATGACTGATGGTACTGAAAGCCACCGAGAGATCAACTTTTTTGGGGGGGCGGGGGGACTGACAACACTCACTATGGCAGCTATTTTGTGACCAGGCTACCTACCCCCCCGCAAGGCAGCCGTTTTCTTTTGGCACCCCATCATGCTCTTAAAAAGTCAAATGTACCCCCTGACTAAA